CGATAAAGTTCAATACTGTGCATGTTGTTTGACGTTCCTAACAGAACCCAACAGCAAGAAATGAGCAACCTTAGTCAATCTGTCGACCACGACCCAGATAGCGTCGTGATGTTCAGACAACCTCGGTAACCCCGTGACAAAATCCATCGCAACTTCCTCCCACATCCACTTCGGAATTGGCAGTGGTCGTAGAAGGGCTATGGGACTCTTTTGCTCAGCTTTGACTTGCTTACAGGTTAAACGTCTCATTACAAAGTCGGCTACGTCTTTCTTCAACCCTCGCCACCAAAACGACCTTTTCAGGTCATGATACATCTTTGTACTTCATGGATGGGCTAGATATGGTGCGGTATGAGCCTCAGTCAAAATCTCCTTCCTCAATGCTTCGACTTTTGGCACCACAATCCTCCCACGAAACTCCAAGGCCCCATCAGTGCCTCGGTGAAAACCCTCGATGCCTCCGGCACGAACTTTGGCATCAATTGCACGAATAAACTCATCTGAAGCCTGCTCTTGCCAGATTCTCTCCCTCAGCGTCGGCTGAACCTGCATAGAACTGACACTCCCGTACTGGCTTTAAGAAGTGCATCAATCACCTGAATCTGTATCCGGGCGAACTCTTGAATCAGCTGACTCTGCTGAGTAACAACGTATGTCAAGTCACCCTTCACCTTGCGGCTTAGGGCATCAGCAACAACATTCGCCTTTTCCAGATGGTACTGAATTGTGCAATCATAATCCTTGACGAGCTCTAACCAACGGCGCTGTGTCATGTTGAGCTCCTTCTGAGTAAAGATATACTGTAAGCTCTTATGATCGGTGAAAATCTCGTATCGACCGCCGTATAGGTAATGTCGCCAAATCTTGAGGGCATGAACAAGTGCAGCTAATTCCAAGTCGTGCGTCGGGTAGTTCTATTCATGTGGTTTGAGTTGGCGTGAAGCATAAGCAACGACCTAGCCATCTTGCATGAGTACACACCCCAAACCCTGCCTCGAAGCATCACTATAGATGGTGAAACTCCGAGAAGGATCTGGAATAGTCAACACCGGTGTCGTCGTAAGCCTCCTTTTCAGCTCCTGAAAACTCGACTCACAACGGTCTGTCCATTCGAACTTCACAGACTTCCTCGTCAGCTGAGACAAAGGGAGGGCAATCTTCGAGAACCCCTCAATAAATCTGTGATAATAACCTGCAAGGCCGAGGAAACTACGAATCTCGGACGGATTCTTCGGTGCTGACCAATTCTGGATTGCAGTAATTTTGGAAGGATCAACTTCAATACCTACTTGAGTGATAATGTGGCCAAGAAAGGCCACTCGCTGAAGCCAAAATTCACACTTGGAGAACTTCGCATATAACTTCTCACGTCTAAGGGTCGAAAGAACGGCCCTCAGATGCTCCTCGTGCTCCTTCTGGCTCTTGGAATAGATAAGAATATCATCGATAAATACAATAACGAACTGATCAAGAAAAGGATGAAATACACGGTTCATCAAGTCCATGAATACTGCCGGGGCATTACTGAGGCCAAATGGCATAACCACAAACTCGAAGTGACCGTATCTCGTACGAAACGCTGTCTTGGGTATGTCTGACTCCTTGATTTTCAGCTGATGGTAGCCTGAACGCAAATCAATCTTGGAAATCACGCAGATATCCCTCAACTGATCAAATAAATCATCGATCTTGGGAAGCGGATATTTATTTTTGATTGTCAATCGGTTAAGATCCCGGTAGTCGATACACATACGCATGGATCCGTCCTTCTTCTAGACAAAGAGAAATGGTGCTCCCCAAGGAGAAACGCTCGGTCGAATAAATCCGAGATTCAACAGCTCTTGAATTTGGGTCTTTAATTCCTGCAATTCTTTAGGTGCCATTCGGTACGGTGCCTTAGAAACGGGTCCGGCTCCAGGGATAAGATCAATAGAAAATTCCACCTGTCGGCTAGGTGGACCTCCGGGAAGCTGGTCTGGAAACACGTCCACAAACTCACGAACAATAGGAATGTCATGAGGTGACCGTGTCTTTGGCTGATCTTCAACGAGGCTCACAAGGTAACCCTGGCAATCTCCCCGTCATAGAATCTTTCTGGCTTTCGCCATAGAAATAACATGGGGCAGAGTACGAGTCCTGGAGTCGTAATAAATAATTTGATCATCTCTCGGAAGATAAAGAGTAATCTCCCGATTGTGACATCGAATATCTGCATGAAAACGTGTTAGCCAATCCATACCGAGTATGAGGTCAAAATCCCTCATCTCGATAACATAAGCATCAGTAATTAGAATACGGCCGCCGACGGAAAGGCTGAGATTGGTGGCTTTAGCGTCAGTCACTATCTTTCGTCCCGAGGCTAAACTCACCTCGAGAGGATCGACAGCGGTAATAGAACGAACCCCAATAGCTTCGAGACATCGGCGTGATATAAAGGAATGGGTCGCTCCGGTATCAAATAAGGCATAGACAGGCACATCATTAAGAATAATCATCCCAGACATGGTACCTGGGTGCTGGTCGGCCTCCCTCTGGTCAACTACAAAGACGCGAGCCTGCTGTCTGCCACGTGGCTGCTGCTGGGGTCGCGGTGGCTGCTGCCTGGGCTGCTGCTGTTGAGGTGGTTGACGTTGTTGTGGTTGTTGTTGCAGTCGTTCTGGACAGTTGGGGCTGATATGGCCTAGCTGGTGACAAAAGAAACAAATATTCTGGCCCACGAGGCATTCTCCACGGTGGTGTTTCCCGCATGTTGGGCATTCTGGTATTGATTTCTTTCTTTGGCGGTTTCTGCGATCATCTGGACCCCCTTTGAACTTCCTTTTATTCTTGTTTGTTGATGGTTGAGCAACTTTGGGTTGGGCTGTGGCTGAGCAACTGGCTGGGCTGGTGTCTGGATAGCTTCTCGTCGTATACTGGCATCGACTTCTTGAGCAATGGCGACTGTGCGGGCGTAGGTCTGGACGTCGTGACCTACGATGTTGTGGCGGACTGCTGGGCGAAGTCCGTCGGTAAATCGGTGGGCTCTCTTCGCCTCCGTACTCACAAGATCGGGTACAAAGGCTCCGAGATGGGTAAACTCTCTCGTACTCGTCGACAGAACGAGTACCCTGGGTGAGTGCCAAGAACTGGCGCTCCATGTCTGCTCAGTAGTACGAGGGATAATACTTCTCTCGAATCAGCTCCTTGAATTGGTCCCACGTACAACCTTCTTTCTCGCCGGGACGCATGCTCCAATAGGCATTCCACCAGAGTCGGGCATCACCGGTCAGCTGGATTTGTGCACATAACATGCGATAACGATCAGGGCAGTCCATGACCTCGAAAATCATCTTGAGGCCCTGAACCCATTCGTCTACTATACGAGGATCTCCTTGGCTTGAAATTTTTTTTGGATGGTAGTCGCGGAATTGTGCGACCACTGTGGCCTGTGGGAGCTCCTGAAGACCTGGATCTCTACGAGGAGGCATCTGAACATTAAAATTTTTAACATGATTAAATAACATAAAAGATTAACTGACTGACTACTTAAGTACACAAATTTCTTGACGAGTCGCTAAATAACCCGAGAATACTAAGGTCGAATTATCAAGTAACTGAGACAATCGACTATGTTCTGAAAATACTCGAGCTCTTACTGGTTTCTGGGGTCAAATATCTGGTACCCTCTTACTGAGCATAGACTTAAGCATTCGTTTAGATATATATAAACTGTAACTCAGCACTTACCTGTAGTCGGCGAGGCGTGAGCGTAGCATGGTCGGGTCTTTTCTGAAAATTTCTGACTAAAAAAAAAATATTCAGATACACGAAAACGTGCTCTGATACCAATTTGTAACACCCCGCTAGCTTACTGAAATCAGAGTGCGATTTTCGCAAATTATTTTCTAAAGTTTATGTTTTAGTTTGCGAAATCATGTTTCGGGATGCTACAGAAAACATTTCTTTTCTGAAATCCGTTATCTTTATTAATTAAATACTATTTAAGAAAAACGGATTATCTTTTATTAAATGAGCGTGTAAAACTGTATAAAATCCGTCCGAAAGGCTCGGATCAAAGTCTAAAACATAACACGCTAATTTGAAAATCTGAAAGCATTAGCGGAAGTAAAACGTGGCAAATAATATACATATAGTAAGTCTGCAAAAGCATAAATACATATGTACTGCACCGGCGACCACCAGCTACGCTCACTCCTCCGAACCGACCCTGTTACCTGAAAAAGATAATAATAGTGGGAGCGTGAGCACTAAAGTCACTGTGCTCCGCAGAAACTCATACTAAAGTAAACATTAATAATAATATTAATATCCTGACTGCAGGTATATATAAGTAACTGTAATCTCCCGACACTGGGTTGGTGACTGAACTGAACCTCCTCGGACACTATGTTCGTCCATGTGCACACTCTAATGGCCTATTAAGGCTACTGCGCCTCCACCAGAACTCAGGATGGCATATTAAGGCTACTACGCCTCCACCCCAAGTGGAATAACTCATATACATACCTTAAAACATGATAGAGCAATTATAACCAATGTAATACCCAGTTTGAGTTCCCACCTGAACTGATAGTGTAAGTGCTGCTGCTGATCAATCTATAAAAATATATATAAATAAACAAATACTAAGTACTATGCTCAGACTGACTGAAAATAGTTGTTAAGACGCTCGACTCGATCTAAACATTTAACTGAAATATTCTTGGGGTTTAACTTGTCTAACAAGAAAAACGGACTGAACTGATACTGGTGTACTGGACTGACTGGACTGAAAAATTTAACTGAAATACTGAACTGAACTCGGACTGGATCAATAAATATTAAACTATTCAAAATTCTGGTCTGAATCGGCCGGTTCATTTTCTGGCGGGACCTCCG